CTCTATATGTCTCGTAGTTAACTTGTCGCGATAAACGATAAGTACCGAGATAATTTTTTTATGAGTATTAATTTTTTTTTTTAATAAAATATATGTTTACTGTATTTTTTTATAAATTGTATAAAATTCAAATAATTAATTAAATTATATATTTGAATAATTAATGTTGTAATTAACTAATATTGCAGGGGCGGAAACGACAAAAAATATTAGCCTCGAGGCAAAAAAAAAAATTAATATACATCTCTGCCCTGGCTGCACAGAGGATTATAAGACAAAATACTAGCGGCAGTGGCAATAGCCAAATTCTTCTGCAGCATATTCTATACATTTATCTAAAAACTGTAAATTTTTTCAAACTGTAAATAAATAAACGGATTTTATGTTTTATTGCAGCGGTTCCCAAACTATGCACTGCGGCGCCCTAGGGTTACTATATATACTCTTTTAAGAGTACATGTTCTCTTTTGAGCTCTTAAAATTTTTGTATTCTTACTTTTTTTATAATGGCAAAAATTTACTATTTTTTTTATTTATAAACAAATAATGTTTTTTATCGTCTCCAACAGCACATTAAAAAACCAATTATTGGAATCGGATGCCCTGCTCACATTCTAAATAACTGTGTTCAACACGCAATTGATAGTTTACCAATCGATATAGAGTCTATTATATTAAAAATATATAATTATTTTTCAATTTATACAGTATGTACAGAATCATTACAAAGAATTTTGTACTTTTGTCGATGTTGAGTACCTATAAAAAACTTTTATTTCACTCAAAGACTAAATGGTTATCATTGGTTTTAGTTATAAACAGTCTGTTAAAAATATATCCAGTTTAAATAATCCTGCACTTAAATCATATTTTTTGTCAGAAAATCAAATACCAATGGCGATTAAATCATTTTTTGAAAATCCTTTAAAAGAAATTAATTTATGGTTTATTCATTCACTAATGTATATATTTCATTCAAAAATTGAGATAATGGAAAAAGAAAATAATTCGATTTGGAAATTATTGTATGTATTGTTGTCAGTAGAAAATGCCTTACATAAACGAAAACAACAAGAGTTTTTACTCTTAAAAGTAAAAGAAATATTTAAAAATAATTATAACCAATCAAATGCATAAAATTTAAGAAAAAAAATGTTAAATGTTTAAGACCATAGTTTGTGTTATTCGAAAAAATGAACAGCTAATTTTGATAAATTTAATGTTCTCAGATGGATGTCTAAAATCCAAACCTTTGTGAATTGATATAAAAAATAGCATTTTATTTTTAAAAAAATATGATCTACAACTAAATGACTTTTTATTATTTGATCAATCTTAATACTTAAAGTGTTTTTGTTAGAAATGAAAAAAAATGAAGATTTCTCATCATTATTATAAGATGAAAAGTAGGAAAAATATTTATTTATTTATTTATTAACATTTTTACGGGACAAGCCCTTTAACAAAGAAGATATAAAGTAATCTAGACATCCAAAAACATAAGAAAATAATAATTATACAGGTACAATATAAGTTTTGGTTAAAATTAAATGGTATGATATTCAAATTGTGTAATATGAGAAAAAATATATATAATAATAATAATAATGTTTTTAACTTGAAAATAAAGACAAAGCTTTCATTCTAATACAATCACGAGACATAAAAAAAAAATCAACATCATTACAAATTAGGTTGCATAACGTAAGCGCTCTCGGAAAAAAAGAATCGGTACAAATTTTTTTTTTAAAAAAGGGGACAAAAAATAAACTTGAGTTTCTAATTGAATAGTTATGAGTTACAATACCAATCTTACTTAACAATTCGGGACAATTAATATTATTATTTAGGAGATCATAAATAAATAATAAATCAGATATCTTACGTCTAACTTCGCATGGCTGAATACAAATTGAGTGTCTTACTAATGAGCTTGAATCTCTGGAGATCGGTAAATTTAAGCGAAAAGCAATTGATTTTAGGAATTTATATTGAACATTGTCAACCAGTTGAACGGTCGAATTTTGACTCCATATCAATGATCCAAATTCTAAGTTAGATCTAACAAGGGAGCAATAGAGGGTTTTTAGTACTTGAATATTTTTAAATTCCTTAGTATTTCTTAATATAAAACCAAGTATTTTAAATGCTTTATTGATAACTATGTTAATATTAGAAGTAAAAGACAAATTGGAGGAAAAAAGTACACCTAAATCTCTAATTGAGTCCACTTAGTTAATATTAATATTATTAATCTTATAATTGAAAACTAAAGGATATTTTTTTTTAGTAAAAGAGATAACATTGCATTTATTAATATTTACTGGTAATAAATTTTCGTGATACCATGTGGAAAACCTATTTCTTAATTCTAATTCTCTTGGAGAATAATTACATCATCCTGATTATTAATAATTGAGTAAAATTTAGTGTCATCAGCAAACATTAACACATTAACTGACGAATTAAAAACAGATGGTAGATCATTAATAAAAAGAGTGAATAATAAAGGCCCCAAATGCGAACCTTGTGGAACTCCAGAGCAAACATGAATAACTTCTGAAAAAGAATGTAACAATTTTACTGACTGGGTTTTATTAGTTATGTATGAATTTAACCATTTAAGGAAATTGCCGTGCAAACCAAAACTTTGAAGTTTAGATATAAGTAAATTATGGTTTATTCTATCAAAAGCTTTACTGAAATCAGTATAAACTGTATCAATTTGACATCCATTTTCAATAGATGAGATTAAATCAGTATGATAAATGAGTAGATTCGTGAAAACAGATTTTTTAGGCTGAAAACCATGTTGATTAGGACAGATATAATTGGACAGTAAATTAGATAGCTTTTTAGTAATAATAGACTCAAATAGTTTTGGGATAATTGACAATTTAGAAATCGATCTATAGTTAATAACATTACTTTTATCACCACTTTTAAAAATAGGAACAATATACGTTTTTTCCAATACATTGGAAAGGTGCCTATTGAGAGAGACAAATTATATAATTTATGAAGTGGTTTCGTAATGATTCTTTTACATTCCTTTAATAAAATAGGAGGCACACCATCAGGACCCACACCACTATATGCGTTAAGCGAATGCAAGGCATCGATAATTTCTTCCTCGCTGATATACCATGAAAATAAATTTAAATTATTAATAGAATTTGTAGCGTCATAACTCATATTCATGTTATTATGTGTGGGAGGAGGTGAGTACACACTGGAAAAAAATTGAGAAAATAATTGAGCGGACTCATCGAAACTACTGGCAGTGATATTATTATACGACATATTTTCAGGAATAGGAGTTTTATTAGATTTAAGCTATTTAATGTGATTCCAAAATGATTCAAAATATTTTGAACAAAGGAGCTATGATACATCTTAAGAACTTTTAAAAATATCCACGTTTTACTTCGCCATACCTACTCAAACTGTCAATATTGAAAGAATTTTTAGCTTTATGAAAGCACAATGGACTGATGATAGAAATAGACTTCTACCAGATTCTGTAAAAAATTTTTTGATGACACAATATAATTTTAAGCATTTTGACTGTACTCAGTTTTATAACTACTGTATTAAAGATAAAAGTTTTTTATCAAAAATTCGAAATAATGATAAATATTAAATTTTATGTCTTAATTCTTAATCTTTAGTTACATATAAAATATTATCTTAATTAAATAAATATTAGCTATGAAAGTAGGTTTTTATTATTGCCTTTAGACATTATATTATATTATGTACTCTTTTCTTATAGGCACCATCTGATAACCCTAGGGGCACCACGACAACTTTCTAAGAGCACCGCGGTCAACGATTCATAAAAAATAGTTTAAAATTTATAAAATAGTTTTTCCTTATGGTTTCGTAAAAACTTTATATTTTAAATTGTTTAAATTAATTTTGGGTTGGATTAATAATTGAAATACATATTTACGTAGATCATTTACAAATAAAATTCAAATAACATACCTATTAGAAAATTAGGCCCATATTTGCACTACACATAAAATATAAGTAAACCTTAACCGATTGTAATGGACTTGGTGTGTCAATTAGTACTTGATAACAAATCACCAAGAATTATACAACTAAAACACATGATATAAATATGTATTTTTTAAATTTATATTAAGAGTAATAATAATTGTTTTAAGGTATTTAAAATTTATTAGAATGTTTATACTAATGTAAATGAAAATGATACAAAATATAATAGTAACCTACTGTCATTGTACACGATCCATCTGTTGAGTTATTATCTTAGTAAATACACTTAGATGAAACTAATTGAAAGGTACAATGAAGGTAGAAAAATAAATTATTTTATTTTATTATCATCTTTTGAATATATTAATTAGAAAAAAAAATATAGAATACACTTTAAAGCACTAAAAAATAAAATCAATAAATATTGATCTCGAATTATTTAATCTAAAAACCAATAAAACCAAAAAAAATTCAATTAAAATAATTTTTTACAATGTGTTTTGATTCTACAACATCATAGGAATTTAACCAAAGAAAATCCAACAAATGCTTACCAACACAATGACATATAAAATCAAATCCGGAAACCAGTTATAAATGCGATATACCAAACCCTTTGATACATCCTATTATTACTATATATTAATATTTATTTATTTATTATAATAAATTATTATTATTAAATTTTATTATTTATGAACATTTAAGTATTTTCCATTGAGATAGGCTTTTTAAAAAAACCCTTTAATCAATTTATATTAATTGATTTAACATATGGCATAAAATCTTCATTATAGTTATTGATTGATGACATTTGGGCATTCTCTTACATACACCTTAAGATAACCTTTTGGTTATATTTTAGCATAACTCATAGGTTCTTGTAATTGACTGTTGCCGGTATCACTGTGATCTTTATCTTTCATTTTTTAACAAAACATAATATAATGCTTATTGTCAAGTAAAGATTCTTATAGGCTAAAATATTGAAATAATTTATCAAGAGTTATAATTTTGCATAAACATTTCATCATAGAACAAAAAAAATTTAAAATTTTTAAAAACAAACACAAAGGTATGTACCATTAATTATTAAATATTAACTAAATTTTACACAAAGTACACAATAATTTAAACTTGTAATTCTCCTAATTTATACAATACTGATCTGAGATACTTGTAACTATTTTATTAGAATAACTCAGTAGGCCATACAGTTATCAAGTTATAATGTTGTATAATACCAAGAATCACATGTTAAACCGGATAGACAAATAAAAATATAAACAATTCAAACTATTATTCAAGAAAAACAAATACAATTATTCAACAACATGGTGCAAATATAATATAACATAAAGAACATAATCTTAGGAGTTTACTGAGTTCCATTTTTCTCACCTGAAATTAATTTAATATTTATGAATTTATGTTATCATTTTTACAAAAATATAGAGAAAAACAAGGTGACAAATTGAAGTCTGAAGCTATAATGTTTTTTGATAAAATTAATTGGAAACTAAATTGTATTATCAATAAATTAATTCAATGAATTCCTATGGATTTTACAAATACTTTTACAAAAATATACTTAAAATGTTACCTTTTAATTGACCTGCACTCGTATAAGAGTCATTGGAAATTGATTGAGCATGTAAATTGGTAACATTGGTTGCAATCATGTCAATATGAGTTTTCAAAGAAATCATCTAAAACACATTTAATTTAGTTAAAACAATTTATAAGATAATTTAAAATCAGTATAACTGTACTTTTGAGTCAACTTCCTTAAATGATTTGGTAAATTTAATTTCAGTTGATTTGCATTCACTTTCAATTGTTTTTACTTGGGCAATTAACTGTTGACGGTCCTCTTTTAACTTCTCGATATCCACCTGTATAATTTATAAATTATTTTAGATAGGATATTATAAATATAATGTAATAAAATGAAACAATCCAAAATTAATATAAAATCATAGACTTTGAAAAAGTTAATTTCTTACTCGATCATTTTTTTGATCTGAAGAGAGCCAATCAATTTTACTTGTAAGTGTTTGGTTCATTGATGTGATATTGGATTTAATATCATCAATTAGCCTATGTAACTTTTCAGATACATTGTTGATCTTAGTTTCATCAGTCTTGACAATACCAGCATTATTCAAGCTTTTCTATTTGTTATAAAATAAAATATATCATTATATTTTTACGGTACAAGTAAATTCACTCATTCTATTGTTACTTTAATCATATTTAGCATATTTTAATATACATACTAAATATAATACATAGTTTATGCTTGATTTATTTTTAGGGTTAATAAATAAAAATTTGTAAGTTAAATGATAAAATATATCCTATAAACATTATCACATAAAAAAAAAAGAGCAACTGCTCAAAAACATTAAATTAGATATAGGATACAAATTAATAATATATTTCCTAATGAGCATATAGATATAAAAACAACTAGAAAGGACTTTATTTTGGTTTTGCCTAAACTGACTGTTATAACCTGCATTTTTACATGTTGTATATAATTGTAAGACTAGAAAACTATAAACATACTAAAAAGGTCAAACATTTGTAATTACATACTTCAATTGAAGTAATGTTTGCTTTCAATGTTGTTTGGTATGACAGCAATGAACTAACAGTATCTTTAAGCGATTTTACACTAGTACTCAAGTCTTGGTAGTTGCTGCCGAGTTGAGCCACTTGTGGTGATAATTCTTTCGAAGCATCTGAAGTTAATAATATGCCCGTTTTTTCTTTGATATTTTTCTCAACCATAGACAATCTGGTACCCAAAAGAGTGATCTGCAATTTAAATCAACTTGAATAAAAAAGAAATAACAAGCAGTATGCGTTTAGTGGTTAATTAGAAAATATAAATTAGGAAGCCCAACGCTAGTGGATTTCGATTATTAATGATGGCAAAAAACCAAACTCACCTGAAGCGTTAAGTTGGTTATTTGTCCATCGTAAACAGTCAGCCGTTGATTTATAACCGTTTGATTTTGTTGCAATTGTTTCGAAATCGCATGACATTTTTGTAAATCATCGGGAACTCCACGATTACCGGCGGCAACTATTCGAAAAAGTCAAAAAAAAAAAAAAAACAAACATTAAACATTCAATTCGTAAGTAATCGGTACACAGTAATAGTAAAACATGTAATGCCACAAATCAGCCAAAGCGTAGCGCAGGATCTCGTAGGAGGGAAAGTTTCGCGGACGATCAGCACGAGGGAACGAGGTGAGAAAAAAAGGATCCACGAGCCGAGCGTCGTATTACGACAGAACACCGTGGGCGGGCGCAGTTGCTTAGTACTGTTCCATTCCCCTTTCCCACCTTGGTCGAGCTGCGTCTGCAGGTGCACTTGGATCTTGTGTATGTCGAGGAACGTGTACGTCTCGAACACGACCCACACGATGCAGCCGAACGTCAGGAACATCCGAAACGCGCTGCACCACGTGTTCGTGATGAAGGTGCGCTTACGCCTGCGAGTGATCTGCCGCCGCAGCTTAATCGGCGTCGGGGCCCGGGACGACGAACACGAATCCGAGTCAGACGAGCACATGAGCCTGCGGTTCCGGTTAACGCCGCCGATCGCGGTGCCGCCGCCGGTCAGCGCGTCCAGTTCCTTCCGCTTGCGCATTTTCTTGCCACCGGCCGCGGCCGACGATCTCCTGCTCACGTCGCTGCTCATCTGTGCGCGCAACTCACGGGGCCCCGGCGTTCACGCCGACCACCGCATGACGACGCGTTCCGACCGCCGCCCTGTCTCTATCTCTCGCTTCGGGTACTTAGTCCGCTGGTCGTCCGGTACACCGCGGGACCGACGGGCGGGCGTGTGCCGGGAGCGATACGCACTTCAACCCGAGGCCATATCGCTGCGCGACCGACGTCAATTATAATAATACTACTGGCCCGCGGTCGAACAAGTGAACGGCCGTCGTCGGCGCAGCGCTCGTTCGGGGTGGAGTTTACCCGACGCAAGTGCAGTGCACGCGGTCTGATCAATAGTTTTCCTCTCGCACCCCATCCCACTACCCTCCGGCCATGGGTTTTATCAATGATGTCCCCACGCACACGGGGCACCATCGCTTTCCTTGTGGCGTAAAAACTAATGTAATCTCCAACCACAGATCGAGAATAACAAAGCGCTTCAACCGATAGTATTCGACGCGTCAGATCAAGATTGAAATTTCAACACAAATGGAACTATAGTTTTCAAGAATACTATAAAAGTGTTGTACTCATTTTAGGAGGCAATCACGAATTCATATGATTTAGAGGAGTACGTTAAAAAAAGAAAACAGTTGGTCAATACTTAATGAGCGATTTTCTCTAATTCGTCTGATTTGCTAAAATATCTAAGAATGATCGTGCGTAAGACGCGTATTTTCAATATTATAGGTATAAATTTACCTATTTAAAGTTAAAAACTAAATTGTGTTAGGTTATAACATTTAAAATAACAGCGTACTATTAAAATACCAAATTATGAGCTGAAACCCATTGCAAACGGCACCATAAAAGTTAAGATAATTTAAGTATATAAGACAAAATTCCTCAAAACTATGCCCAAAAACGAAATGAATAAACGATAAAAATAAAGGATTAAAAAAACTCTATGAACTGTAAAAGATGCTTTGTTGGGACAAAAAATTAAAATGGATAAAAACGCAAACACAACAACTGTATTTCGATATAACTGTTGTTCAATTAAATACACACAATTCTTTGCCACATGTGACAGTCTTATATGCAAAAATGGTTAGTAATTCAAACAAAATGTACGAAATTCTAATAATCTACAATACATAAAATTAACAAAGGAAGAGTAATCAGCTATTGCTAACAAATGTTTATACTGCACTAACTTGATCAATTGATCATGAAAATAAAGTCTATAAAATACATATATGAAACAGATTTCTTAATCTTTTAATACAAAATAATTGGATAATGTCTAAATTCTATAAATATTTCATTGAACATAATTTTTAAACTTATATAATATATAAATAATGCTATAAATTTAATAATAAATCAGATTATTTTTTCATTTTTAAATGTATTAATAAAAATAATAAAATACATTAATTATATTAACATACTGATATATTGGTCAGTAAGAACGATACTTAAGTTACGACTGACCTTTTTTTAAATGACACTCTATAATGTCCACCTTTAATTATTTAAGTCAATTTTTGTTTTAATTAGGTATGTGAAAAAGAAAAATAAAGTTGAAAATATGATTTATATTAACATAAGCACTTGAATCAAATACAAAAAATAAATATTTGAAGATATTAAAAAAAACTTTTTATTATAGAATAATGCTATGCTTTAAGCTAAATACACAACCTACACATCTATATATCTGATCTATAAATCTGTTAATATTTATAAATATTTTTCTATACTATTCTCATATTAGAAGTAAAATAACAAAATGGAAATATTTCTAAGAAATACTTGAGTATATTATTTGATTTTAAAATAAAATAAAATAAAAGCAGTTTTAAGGATTATTTGTGAATAATGTATTTTATATTAATACAGTTACAGTCATGTGTATATATATAGTATACAACTGAATAGGCATTCAAATTTTACTTAAAAAAATGGTGGGGCTAATACAAATTTAAACAGCCTTGAACATTCAATAGCCAAAAAGGTAATTGTTTATATGAAAACACATAAAAATATAATGGTGTATTGAATTGATACTTTTTAATATTGGTGAAGTAATAATGAATAAGATTGATTGTGTTAATGTTATGAAATCTATGCGCGACAAAAGCGTGAAGCCGTTGTCAATTGTTACACTATTTCATCATTGCTATAAGTTGAATTATTGTTTGAAAATAAGCTTGATTATCTTAGTCATAATATGGCCTATATTGAATATTTTTTCTATCGAAATAAATTTTTCTTTAATCACGTATATTTTTAATATTCACATAATTATCAAATTGTATATTTGTACATTGGATACAAAATAGAATGTATAATTTGATATAGAAAATTAGTATTTTATTAAAATACATTTAGTACACTGCAATAGTACTTTAATTTAATTATCTGGACAAGACATAGAAATCATGCAATAGAAAAAATGTTTACTAGATAAACAAAATAAATTATATGTGTGATACCTTTTATTAACCTATTATACATAATAAAATTTTTATAAATATCAGACCTCATGTACCCCAAAATTTTGACTCCTTATGGTAACAAAAATGTGGTTGAACCTCAAAATAAAAGAAATCTATGAAAAATCATAGTTTATTCCAAAAATTATTTAATACTATTTATTTAAAGCAAAGATAAAAAGGTTTTTTATACATTGAATAAAAATTGTTTGAAATACCTAATCTTTTAAAATTAAATTATTTTCATAAATACTGTTTGCTATATTATAATTTTTATAGTGGACCTTGTTATTCTTAAATACAAATTCTAATAGTCAATTCTCAAATTGCATATGATTCATCTATTAGCTATTTTTGATAAGAAGACCATTGTAGACAATTTTTTTTTATAGTAATTATTATTAAAACTAAAATTATAGTTTATTCAGAATTAGATAAAATTTAATACGTTTTTGAATTTAACATAATCAGTTTATTTCTCATCAGTAATAAATTAAAATGTACCAAAATATAACGTCTGTGCATTAGTTTCATTTTTTTTTTTTTTTTTATTAATTTTACTATTTTTACTTAAGAGTTACATAAGATAAAATTAAAATTGTAGATTTTATTTTGAAAATTCAAATATTTTTTTACTAATATACTCGTATAAGGTGAATAAATATTTGAATAAAACTTATTTTTAATACATCAAGTTATCTATAAATAGGTAAAAATTCAAATGTAATTAAACTTAACACAGAATTAGTTATTTGGAAAGCTATAAAAGTAGATTTATATAAAAAATACAGTTTCAAATATGAATTTATACAGTTAACATAATATGTATGCTGATAATATATATTAAAATAATTTGTAATAAATAAGTAATAATAAAATTTTTAATTTTTTTTTTTTTATATGTTCTTATAGAGATAACTATGTTGCATACCTACTTTAACTGAGTATTAATAATTTAAATTACTAGATGTCAGATAGTAAATATAATTTAGTAAAATAGATTTCATTATTCAATTGTTTTTATACAAGGTTGAAAAATAATGGCAATAAAAGAATCTTTGTCAGATAGTTAAAGCTTATTTAAATAGCTATCAAATTTACCATTAACATTATGACAAGTGTATATAGTAAGACTTTAGTAATCCACAATAGAAATATTATGTGGAAGAAAGGAAAAACGATGGTTATTTTAGATTAAACGCACAGCGAAATTGTTAAACAAAATTCAGTCAAAGAATCTTACTTGTAACTATAGTATGATTGAATTTATCCAATTCATTTTGTAAAGCGTTGATGAACCAACTCATAGTAAGTAGCCAAATGATGAGCACAGATAGGATAAAGAACACACACAAGGTGCGTAGGGGACATTTTTCGAATGTCACTTTTTCTGTAAACTTATCACGACTGCCAAACCTAAATGGGATAAACAAGGGTAATTAAATAAAAACATTAGATTACGACGATTGAAAAGTGCCCCAGATGGGGGACAGTAATCAGCAGTACTTTCTATATCTCTTCTTCCTGGGCGAAGTCAATATCAAAGGCGGGACGTGCGTGGACGAGCTGCTCTCGGTGTCGGACATGTCTAACAGCTGCTGGTAGCTTTTATTTGAAACGTTGGACTGTTCCATTTAGAGAATAACATGATAGTTGAGTGTTGTATTGTAATTACTCGGGCGCGTCAACGAATTACCGAAGATAATATACTAAATTGATATCGCGTTCAATTGTCAAACATTTCACATAATGTTATTATTTCGACAAGACACTCAGCAGTAGACACGTTCTTCAAATTTCAAGGTGGTATATGGATTTATCATATTATTCTAACTTGCAAATTTACTGTAACGAATGTGTGATAACGCTTATCTAGCTGATAACACTGTCGCGTCCCACGTAATTAGATAACAATAATACTATAGTCACCCCTGCATTACATATATGCACGAGTGTGCAACGATTATAGGGTTGCCATACGTTCCGGCTTAGACGTTTAGAGGAAATGTAGAATTGTTTATTTATTTTAATGTCGACCATTTTATCTCAAAGTACATTTTTAATCGTAATCGATTGACAATATATAATAAAAACATAATTTGTAATTTACACATATAAATATATAATCTATTTTATTTTACAAAAATATTTTTGAATATTATATTCCGGCCATTAATAGTCCTCTTCAGTGGCGTATATATAACTTTTGTATGGAGGAGGGATCATTTGCAAACAAATCATAGTAAATTGAACAATTTTAATAAATCACTTAAACCACAACTAGTAGTAATTATTTTACAACATCCACCTACATTCAAGCGTTGAACAGACTGAGCGAATAACTGAAATACGATCAATCGGTTAGCACGCAACTACTTTAGATTTTCAATATTGGTTTTGCATCCCATGAAAAAATGTGAAATGACGCCCCTGGTTCAAGTTATAGTTACGTAATCTGTGCTATTACGAAAACCATACGTTCAATATATGTTGTACAATTCACAAACGATTCTTGTTCCGAACCTTTAATGATGGTAATATACATGTTTTTATCGACGTTTGAATTATAGCCGTGTTAAGGCCTTGATGCTGATTTTTGCGTTTTTCATATAATTTGATTCGATTTTTAGCTAGGACAACGTTCTGTAGACCATGCAAAATTCGTCAAAATCAGAGTTCTGAATCAAATATTTTAATAACCAAGGTGTATGTACACGGCATGTAAAATGGTGGCGAAGACTCAATTCAGCGGACATTATTATCGATCACCTGAAATTGAAACTATTATCTACCCATAAATCGGGTTAGTTATTTGCAAATAGTCCTCCTCACAGAAAAGAGCGCGTGCCAGGCCTAACGAACAACCCACGTCACCAAGTGATTGCAACTCCGTCAGATCGCTTCATGGAATCATATATATGTCACAAGTAAAGTTCGAAAATTTGTAGTTTACATAATACTCGGCTAAAGTACACCTTATTCATATGAATAGTATAATGTGTACATTATCCAGTGTGCTAATGATAAAGTAAATTATATATTATTAAATTATTATTTTATATATGAAAATATTTTTCCAGATTTATATTTACTTGTACATTATTTGTTAAACAATTATTTTTACACAAACATTTTTAAACTTTGACCGCCAAAAAAGGTTATGCATTAGCTATTTCACATATAGATTTTTTTTTATAGCCGGCACTTATAAGATATTTATTAATGGTTCATTATCATTTATTTGTTTTTTTTTATCACGTTTTTTATTTCAGATAATATGTCATAAAATTTGATTCC